TCATTTCACTGGGTTAAACCTTGCTCAGTGAAGGGGTGGGAGATGGCGTAGCCGTGTTGAGTGAGGTTTTGTTGCTGTGGGTCACGTGACAGTTTTTCTTTTTTGAAGAAATAGCACAAAAAAGAAACCACTTAATTGAAGCCATTTGCCAATATTCTTTCCTTGAAAATCCCTAAAAATTCTGAAAGGGTTTGTGTTTCGGTATAAAAACAGACAACTGTTTCGTGTGAGAGAGTACGGTACCTCATCGCATTTCAGTAGGAGGCCATTCAGCCCATTGTGCCTGCAGCAGCTCTTCAAACAATATCATTACCAAATGCCAATCTCCTGCTTTTCCCCGTACGTTTAGACACTGTTTTAATCCAAATAATCATCCAATCCCCTCTTGAATCCCTCAATTAAACCTGCCTCTGCCTTTTACTAAGCAATGTGTTCCCCACTTCAACAATTTGTTGTGTGAAAAAGATTTTTCTCCATTCACCCTTGTTTCATGTACACATCACTTTGAATCGTTGCATTTTTTTTGGAGTGGGAACAGCTTCTCCCTATCTACTCTGATCAGTCCTCTTGTGATTTTGAAATCCTCTATCAAATCTCCTCTTGGTAGCCTTCTCTTCAGGGAGAAAAGTCCCAACTTCTTCCATCTATCCCCATCACTGATGTTTCTCATCCCTGGAATTGTTTTTGTAAATCGCTCTACACACTCTCCAATGTGTTCATATCTTTCTGTTTAATGTGGCACCCACATCTCTATATAATACTCCAGTTCTCTTTGAAGCAATGCAATTTGAATTTTTTTTGTCATTCTGTTTTTCAGACAGGATACATCGATGGTGCACCTCTGCAAACTTACTATAATTTCTTGGTGTTGGTGCCAACCATTTTGGAATATCTGCAGTACGTCCTGATTGCTACTGGCTGCCTTTTAGTGTTAGTTGCTATAATTCTCAAAATTGTCAGTTGGAAAAAGCAGGTAAGATCAGAAAATTGTTGATGGAAGTATAAATGAGAGGCACCTAAACACCAAATAAAACACCTTGTTTACAGTGCTCTGTATTAAATGATAAATTCAAAACATGCCAGGAATATGCAAATAATCACAACGTATGCTTTGTCTCTCACTAAATGAATTAAAATAACTAAACTCATTATATTTAATTTCAACCCATTTTAAATAAAAGAAAATGCAGGAAATAATTTCAGTTCATCTACCGTCTTGTAGAGAAAATCTAATTTAACAATTCGGGTCAGTTACCTTTGATCAGAACTAGGAATAATTCAAGATTTTGACAGGTTGTAACCAAATACAAGTACAAAGAAGAGGTGGTGGGAAGGACAAGAACAAAGGGTCAAGGACAGGATATAGGATTAAATGATAAAAGGGATTTTGGTGCAATGGGAGGCATTTGGGTCCAGTAGAGGTCTAAGTTGCTAAAGTGGATCATTACATCCTCTGATGTCCAAAAGATTGGGAGTAGTGGTTCTAATCTGAAATTGTGGAATTCCATGTTGAGCTGGAAAAGCACAAAGCCCTAAGCAAAGGTTGGTGTATGTTTGTGGAGCTTTTGTTTGGCTTCTCTGGAGACTGAGGTCTGAGGTGAGATGAAAAATTAAAATGACAGCTTGGAAGCTGGAAACCTGCAGACAGAATAGCAGTACTATACAAATCAGTCACCCAATCGATGTATCTTGTTCCTGTTTCTGAGGAGATCACAAGATGCGGACAATGGTGATGTAGATTCATCCATTGGTTACAGCACAGGAGGTGGCCTTTCAGCCCACTGTGTTCGCGTCAGTTCTCTGCAAAACAATTCTGCTTGTCACCCCCATACTGCTTGCCATATCCCTACAAATATCTTCTCCAGATTGTGAAAAATCCCTTTTTAATGCTGTAATTGAACATACTTCCACCACCCTCTTAAGGAACACCCCAGTTCCTAACCATTTTAAATGTGTGAAACAGCTTTTCCTTCTGCTTTTGTTGTTGTTTTCTTCTGGTTCTTGATCTTTATATCAATGGGAACAGTTTCTCCATCTCTGCTTCTCCTTCATGACTTAGTAAACCTTGATCCAATCTCATCTCCGCCTTCTCTTCTTCGAGGAGAACAGTCCCAACTGCTCCAAGTCACTGCAGTTCCTCATTCCTGGGACCATTCTCAGAATATTTTCTGCACTTGCTCCAGTGTTTCACACCTTTCCTAAAGTGTGTCTCCTGAAACTGGGCATGATCCTGCAGCTGAGGCCACACCAGTGTTGTATAAAGATTCATCATAAATTTCTTGCCTTTATTCAGTTAGTTCCTGTTTTATGTTGCCCCTTGTTACATTGTTCTAACATTGGTCCACCCCTTGGGGATATCTGAAACTGGTCTGTAATTTGTTGGTTGCTGTTCTGGGCTATCCTCTCTCTTGCTAGTTCCCCAGTTCATGGCTTACCTCCTGCAGGTCAAAGTTATTATTGCCTTCCTCCACTCATCCCCAGAATCCTCCCCCTCAGTGAGAGTACAGGAGGCAAAAATGGGGTCTGCAGCAAACAGAAGGTTGAGGGGGCAGTAGAGACAATGAACTATAAGGGTCCACAGTGACTGAGCCGCTCAAGTAGTAGGATGTGTGATGAGCAGGAGTGAAGTGGAAATGTAGCATCATTCTTTTTCACACACTTGTTTGGATGGAGAGCACTTATAGTGGAGTCAAGAACAGGGGGCCACAGCCTCAGAATGAAGACATTATTTCAATAAAGGTCGTGAATCTTTGAACATCCACAACCCTCAGACAGGATAGTTCAGTCATTGAGTACGTTCGAGGGTGAGATGGACAGAATTTTATTTTGCCTGTAAATTTTTGTTTGTTCACTCAGATGTGGGAGTCATTATTTGGGCCAGCATTTATTGTCCTGTCCTTGTTGCTGCTTGTCTCTGCTGAACATCAGTGGCGGAGGTGCTGGATGTTTGTGAACATGATGCCAATCAGACAGGCTGCTTTGTCCTGGATGGTGTGAAGCTTGTTGAGTGTTGTTGGGGCTGCACTCATCCAGGCAAGTGGGGAGTATTCCATCACACTCCTGACTTGTGCCTTGTAGATGGTAGACAGGCTTTGGGGGAGTCAGGAGGGGAGTTAGTTCAGGATTACTGACCTCTGACCTCTTTTTATTTTATTCATTCACAGGATGTGGGTGTCACTGGCTAGACCAGCATTTATTGCGCAAGGGCAGTTAAGAGTCCCCCACATTACTGTGGGTCTACAGTGACATGTAGGCCAGACCAGGTAAGTCATGTTAGTGAACCAGATGAGTTTTTCTGGAGCACAAGTCTTCAGTACTATTGCCGGAACGTTGTCAGGGCCCATAGCCTTTGCAGTATCCAGTGTCTCTAACTGTTTCTTGATATCACGTGGAGTGAACCGAATTGGCTGAAGACTGGTATCTGTGATGCTGGAGACCGCTGGAGGAGGCCGAGATGGATCATCCACTCGGCACTTCTGGCTGAAGATTGCTGCGAATGCTTCAGCCTTATCTTTTGCACTGATGTGCTGGGCTCTTCCATCATTGAGGATGGGGATATTTGTGGAGCCTCCTCCTCCCGTGAGTTGTTTAATTGTCCATCACCATTCACGACTGGATGTGGCAGGACTGCAGAGCTTAGATCTGATCCGTTGCTTGTGGGATCACTTGGTGATCAAGAAGAATCATGGAGAAATGGCAGCAATATAAACGAGGCAGAAATTCAGCCATGATCTTGTGGTAGAACAGGCTTGATGGGCTGAATGGCCTAATACTCCTTCCTCCTCTGCAATGTGTTTCTGGGACAGAGAGTAAGAAATGAGAGCAGGAAATGTGCCGAGTCATGTGGATATGAGCAAAAAGGAGGAAATGTCAGAAGTATCGGTATGGAAGCCTATTTCACACTTCCTGCCACCAAATACTCCCTCTAGGTGAACCATTTACATACTTCTTTCAATATGGTACATTACACTCCGTGCTCGCAGCACATGCAGACCGGACATAATGCAGACCGTAAACACCGATGAGGTGACAACTTTACAGATGACCTCTGTTCACTCTGCAAGCATGACCCCAAGCTTCCAGTCACTCGCATTTTCATTCCCCACCTAATCTTTAAACTGGGCCCTTTGCAGCCAAATACAACTCAACACTGAGTTTAACTATTCCAGGTGAGAAGTATTGCTCACATCTCTTTGGGCATCAAGAGATTGAGGAACCTGGGCCTGTTGCATTCTCTGGAGTCTCCAAAGAATGAGCTGCAATCTCGTTCATGTTTGGGAAACTTCTTAGAGCTCAACACAGACGCAGGAGGGGTGTTTGTCCCTGGCTGGAACAGATTTAGCATCAGTGTACGGTCTCTGAATAGAGTCATAGAGATATACAGCATGGAAACAGACCCTTTAATCAAACCCGTCCATGCTGAGCAGATATTCCAAATTAATCTAGTCCCATTTGCCAGCATTTGGCCCATATCCCTCTAAACGCTTTCTCTTCATAAACCCATCCAGATACCTTTTATCAGCTTCCACCACTTCATCTGGCTGTTCATTCCATACACACACTATCCTCTGCATGAAAAAATTGCCCCCAGGTCCTTTTTTAAATCTTTTATCCCCCCCCTCACCTTAAACCTGTGCCCCTCTAGTTTTAGACTGCCCTACCCAGGGGCAAAGCCTTGACTATTGAGCCTATCCATGTCCTTCATGATTTTATAAACATCCTATAAGGTCATCCCCTCAATGCCCCAGATGGTCTGGGAAAAATAGCCCCAGTCTATTCACCCTTTCCCTATAGCTCCAATCATCCAACCCTGGCAACATCCTTGTAAATCTTTTCTGAACCCTTTCAAGTTTCACAACATCCTTCCTATAGCTGGGAGACCAGAATTGAATGCAGTATTCCAAAAGTGGCCTAACCCCTGTCCTGTACACGACCTCCTAACTCCTATACTCGATGCACTAATCAATAAAGGCAAGTATACCAAACACCGCTTTCACTATCCAGCCTACGTGTGACTCCACCTTCAAGGAACCATGAACCTGCACACCAAGGTTTCTTTGTTCAGCAACACTCCCCAGGACCTTTGCCATTAAGTGTGTAAGTCCTACAATGATTTGCCTTTCCAAAATGTAGCAGCTCACATTTGTCTAGATTAAACTCCATCTGCCATTCCTCGGCCCTTTGGCCCATCTGATCAAGGTCCCTTCTCTGCTGTCCACTAAACCTCTAATTTTGGTGTCATCTGTAAGTTTACTAACCATATCTCCTAAATTCATGACCAAATCATTTGCGTAAGTGATGAAAAGCAGTGGACCCAGCACCTTGTGGCATACCACTGGTCAGAGGTCTCGAGTCTGAAAAGCAACCCTCCATCAACACCCTCTGTCTCCTATCTTCAAGCCAGTTCTGTATCCAAATGGCTTGTTCTCCCTGTATTCCATGTGATCTAACCTTGCTAACCAGTCTACCATGTAGAACATTGTCAAATGCCTTGCTGAAGTCCATTTAGATTACATCCACCGCTGTGCCTTCATCAATCTTCTTTGTCATCTCTTCAAAAAACTCTCCAGTTACTGAGATGTTTTCCCATGCACAAAGCCATGCTGACTATCTCTATTCGGGCATTACCTTTCCAAATACATGTAAATCCTGTCAATAAGGGGCAGCTAATTTAGAAATGAGGTGAGAGGAATTTCTTCTCTTGGGGTGGTGAATCTTTGGAAATCTCTACCACACAGGACTGTGGAAGATCAGTCATTGAGCAGGTTCAAGGCAGAGATTACAAAGTGTGGAGCTGGAGGAACACAGCAGAAAAATTTTCTGAAGAAGGGTCCCGACCTGAAACGTCAGCTTTCCTGCTCTTGTGATGCTGCCTGGCCCACTGTTCCTCCAGCTCCACAATTTATCTTTAACTCCAGCATCTGCAGTTCTTGCCAACTCAAGGCAGAAATTGATTGCTTTTTAGAGAGAAATGACATGAAGGGATATGATGTGGAGCTGCCAGTGTTGGACTGGGGTGGACAATGTCAAAAATCACATGACACCAGTTGTAGTCCAACAGGTTTATTTAAAATCATAAGCTTTTGTAGCTCAGCTCTTTCATCAGGCGCAGTGACTGCACCTGACAAAGGGGCTGCGCTCCGAAAACTTGTGATGTTAAATAAACTTGTTGGACTATAACCTGGTGTTGTGATTTTTGACTTTATCAAGGTATATGGGGATAGTGTGGGCATAAGATGTTGAGATAGGAGATCATCTCTGAGCTAGAATCGCAGAGCAGGCTGAAGGGGCTTAATGTCCTCTTCCTATTCCTGTGTTCCTTTTTGTTCCTATTCAACTATTTCCATTTACATCTCCTCTATATCCCTCTTTTTGTCTCTTTCTTTATTACATTACTGCCCCTTTTTCCAATTGCATCAACATCCCCTTTTAGTCTCCCCTCCATCTTCTAACAATTTCCCTTTTAATCTTAGCCTCTACTCCCTTCCCTTATCTCTGTAATTGGCTGAAAACTATAACACCCTCAACTCTGAAAGGTCTCTGATCTGCTTATTTCTAAAGATGCTGTCAGGCCAGCTGAACATTCCATCACTTTTTGTTTTTCATCTCAAATTTCCCCAAACTGTATTATTTTGTTTTTAATTAAATTATTATACAGTGACTTTATCCATTGTTATGCATTCGTCAAATTTTCATTGTTGAGCTAAATGATGTCATCACGCTCCAGATTTAAATTGTGTTTGAAGTCGGATGCTTTTGCAGAGTTTGGAACCATGGACAAGGTTGTGGTGAGTTTCTGGTGGCAGGTTTAGTCTTAATTGCAAATGGTAGTTCTGACAACTTGTTCAAAAATAGTGTTGTAGTTGATGAGTTTGGCTGGGGTCTCTGCTTTGTTGGGATTGGTTCTGTACCCACTAAAGTCTGTGATTCTTTCGGAATGTTTTGATTGGAGTAGGGGTGAGGGTCCGAGTAGGACTTGGAGAAGGAATGTTCCTTGTACCCCACAAAAATTATGTGTAACTTGGGGCCCATGTGGGTACTCATGGCCACCCCTTTGACCTCAAGAAAGTGGGAGGAGTTAAAAGAAAAGTTGTTCAGGTTGAGGTTGAGCTTAGCTATGCAGAGGAGGATGCTGGTGGATGGAGATGGTTCAGGCCATTTTTCCAGGAAGAAGCAGAGAGCCCCGAGACCATGCCGATGGGGGATGTACATGTAAAGGGAGTGTGCGTTCATGGTGAAAAGGAGGCTGCTGGAGCTCGCGAACTGTAGATTCTGAAACTTATTTTTTTTCTATTCATTTGTGGGATGTGGGATGTGGGCGTCGCTGGCTGGCCAGCATTTCTTGCCCACCCCTAATTGCCCTTGAGAAGGTGGTGGTGAGCTGCCTTCTTGAACCGCTGCAGTCCTGCTGCTGTGGGTTGACCCACAATGACCTTAGGGAGGGAATTCCAGGATTTTGACCCAGTGACAGCGAGGGAACGGCGATATATTTCCAAGTCAAGATGGTGAGTGATTTGGAGGGGAACTTGCAGGTGGTTGTGTTCCCATTTTTCTGATGCCCTTGTCCTTCTAGATGGAGTGGTCATGGGTTTGGAAGGTGCTGTCTGAGGATCTTTGGTGGATTTCTGCAGTGTATCTTGTAGATAGTAGATAGTACACACTGCTGCTACTGAGCGTCGGTGGTGGAGGGAGTGAATGCTTGTGGATGTGGTGCCAATCAAGTGGGCTGCTTTGTTCTGGATGGTGTCAAGCTTCTTGTGTTGTTGGGGCTGCGCTCATCCAGGGAAGTGGGGAGTATTCCATCACACTCCTGACTTGTGTCTTGTAGATGGTGGACAGGCTTTGGGGAATCAGGAGGTGGGTTACTCATCAAACGATTTCTGATCTGCTCTTGTAGCCAATGTGTTAATGTGGCCAGTTGAGTTTGTGGTCAAGGATAACCCGTAAGATGTTGATAGTGGGGTAATCAGAGATGGTAACGCCACTGAATATCATGGGATGGTGGTTAGATTGTCTGTCTCTCATTGGAGATAGTCTTTGCCTGGCACTTGTGTGGCACGAATGTTACTTGCCAATTAAAAGCCCAAGCCTGGACATCGTCCAGGTCTTGTTGCATTTGTACATGGACTGTTTCAATATTGAGCGCTGAACATTGAGCAATCGTTGGCAAATAGTCTCATTCTGACCTTATGATGGAGGGAAGGTCATCGATAATGCGGCTGAAGTCGGTTGGTCCTCAGATGCTACCCTGAGGAACTCCTGCAGAGATGCATTGCAGAGGCTGAGCACAGCTCTCAGATGCCTCCTATCTATCCCTGGACCGTGACCCCACCATGGAACATCAGACCATTATGTCCATAATGGTCACCAAACTTTTTTTTTTCATTTGGTGATCTCAAAGATTCAAGATGGCAGCAACACAGCAGGCAATGTTCAGGCTCCTCAGTCTGTCTGCTTTTTTCTTCCCGCACCCCCCCACCCACTTCCTTCGTCTCTTGTTTCTTTCCTAAGATTTTTGAGTGTTTTCTCCCTGATAAGGAAACTTACCATGGAGGGCCGGAGGCCTGGAACAGAGTGGGGTGGGCTGGGCTGGAGGCCTGGAGCGGGGCGGGGGTGGCCGGAGGCCTGGGGCGGAGCGGGGACAGTTGTTGGACTGGTCTGTTCAGCCAATCAGACTACATGTCAAAGCCCCTGCACTAAGCTATTGCAATGTAATGTGACTGCAATGGTTATCCTTTTAACTGTGTCTTATTTCTAACTTGTACTACGAATCACTGTAAAGTCACTGCAGCTACTTTTCTTTTTACTCTGCTTTTTGTAAGTAAGATTTGTACCTAGGTACTTTGTATTCAAGATGGTGCCATTAAAGGCGCCTTTGCAAACTTTTCACTGTTCTGCTGTACCTCTGTACTTGAGTACTCATGATAATAAAGGATATTCGAATTCCCCTCCAAGCTCAGTCTCCCAACCCCGCACAGCTCGTTCCTAACTCCTTTCCAAAATCCACAAACAACTGCCTGGGCAGACCTGTTGTTTGTGCCTGCTCCGGCCCACAAACCCATCTCTTCCTACCTGGACTCAATATTTTTTCTCCCGTTGACCAGTTTCCTTCCCATTTACATCTACATCACCATCACCATCACCATCACCATCACCAAGAGTGGCTCGGCAGCAGTACTACTGATCGAGCTGCTCGGGTCCTAAAGGACATAACTGCTAGACTGGGCCTGTGGCAGGTGGTGAGAGAACGAACAAGAGGGGAAAAACATAATTGACCTTATCCTTACCAATCTGCCAGCTGCATCTGTCCATGACAGTATCGGTAAGAGTGACCATCGCACAGTCCTTGTGGAGACAAAGTCCCGCCTTCATGTAGAGAACAACCTCCATCATGTTGTATGGCACTATCACTGTGCTAAATGAGACCGCCTTCACACAGATCTAGCAACTCAAGACTGAGCATCCATGAGGCACTGTGGGCACAATAGTACTGAAGATTTGTGCTCTATAACTTGCCACTCCCCTAGCCAAGCTGTTCCAGTACACTTACAACACTGGTATCTACCCGACAATGTGGAAAATTGCCCAGGTACATCTGTACACAAAAAGCATGACAAATCTAACCTGGCCAATTATCGCCCCATCAGTCTCCTCTCGACCATCAGTAAAGTGATGGGAGGTGTAATTGAGCAGGTGCTGCTTGATAGCACTGATAGAAATAACCTGCTCAGTGACGCCCAGTTTGGGTTCTGCTGGGACCACTCAGCTTCTGACCTCATTACAGCCCTGGCTTAAACATGGACAAAAGAGCTGAATTCCAGAGGTGAGGTGAGAGTGACAGCCCTTGATATCAAGGCTGCATTCAACCGGCTGTGGCATCAAGGAGCCCTGGCAAAACTATAATCAATGGATATCAGGGGGCAAACTCTCTAGTGGTTGGAATCATACCTGACACATAGGAAGATGGTCGTGGTTGTGGGAGGTCAATCATCTCAGCTCCAGGACATCTCTGCAGGAGTTCCTCGGGGTAGTGTCCTAGGCCCAACCATCTTCAGCTGCATCGTCAATGACCTTCCCTCCATCATAAGGTCAGAAGTGGGGATGTTTGCCAATGGTTGCACAATGTCCAGCACCGTTCCTTACCCCTCTGTTACTGAAGCAGTCTGTGTTCACATGCAACAAGATCTGAACAATATCCAGGGTTGGACTGACAAGTGGCAAGTCACATTCACGCCACACAAATGCCAGGTTATGACCGTCACCAATAAGAAACAATAAAGACCATCTCTTGACATTCAATGGTGTTACTATCAAAATCCCGCACTATCAACATCCTGGGAGTTATCATTGACTAGAAACTCCACTCAACTCAACTCACCACAGCCACAGTGGCTACAAGAGCAGGCCAGAAGCTAGGAATACTGTGGCGAGTAACTGGGAGTAAAGTCCATGGACTGCAGCAATTCAAGAGGAGTACGAAGAGGTGGCTTTTTGTTAATTATACAGAGCCCATTGAGAGTAATTTGTTCAGTTCCGGGTACCACTGCTCAGGAACTACAGATTGGCCTTGGAAAGGAAGCAGCACAGTTTCACCAGAATGATTCCTACAAAGAATTAGACCATTTGACCCCATTGGCCCATGTTTTAAACAGGCCTCCTTCCAGCAGGTGCTGAATGACCTTTTCCTCATTAATAATTGTTTGGTAAGAACTGATCATTGCCAAAAAGAGACAAAGTCAAAACTTTTCATCCTGTGATCATCAGGATACGCACGTGAGGAAAGAATAATTTCTACAGCATTAGAAGAAGGAACTGATTGGGTGTGGAAATGCAGCAGGAATTGTAACAAAAGCAGAAATAGCTGGAGAAACTCAGCAGGTCCTCAAAACAAGGGTCACAGAATCTGAAACATTAACTTTTTTTTCTTGCTTTCGCTCACATTCTCATGTTCGTTCTCTCTCTCTCTCGCTTTCTCTTGCTCTCTGCTATCTCGCAGGTGCGCTCTTACATGCACGCTGTCTTGCGATGTCAGTGTTGTTGGTGTTAACTGTGCATCCCCAGTGCCCCATGAGAAGGTGATGGTGAGCTCCTCTTGAACTGCTGCAGTCCATCTGCTGCAGATTTTCCCGAAGGTAGGGAATTCCGGGATTTCTAAAGGAACAGCAATATATTTCCAAGTCAGGATGGTGAGTGGTATGGAGGGGAACTTGCAGGGGGTGGTGTTCCTATGTATCTGCTGTCCT